AACAATGCCTGACGTCTTGTGGGTCCGCCTGTCTGCGGTTACCTTCTGCATCTGCCTCTCTCTGTCATCGCATGTCGTGTCGGCCGCTGGGGTCGGAGAACGAGAACAGCACTCGCTGGCCCAACGGTCAGACGCGGAGACTAGCAAAGGCGCGGATCCAATATCGAAACGAGACGCCGAAGAAGACTTTAATGAATTTCTTCGGAAACTTTTCAACCCAGCCTGGGAAGCTTTAAGACAAGAGGAAATTGAGCGGCAAAAAATTAAATACTGGGAAGACGTCCGTAAATATATGGAACAAGGCGGCGAATACTAGAAAGAATAATTAAAAATAAAGTTGCTCTGATAAATTAGCAGAGAGAGAGAATACAAAGAAACAGAGATACGATCTTTGCATAAATGTATTAAACATAAATAGCCTTCAGATGTTAGTTTTTATTTATTTTTTTCATTTTATTGCTCTGTGCTGTCATTATGTCTTTTGTTTTAGGGCATTCATTCTCTCAAAATGAGCTCTTATAAACATCTTTTACACAAAATATGAAAGTTGTATGAAAATTTAAGCTGGCATTTGTGTGGCGCTTGAGTTTAACACTCAACAGCTCACAAAGGCTGAGCCTAACATTAAGGTAATACTTACTATAACAAAACAAGACTATCCATTACACTCATACCATAATAATTCTAACACTGAAATGAGACCTATCTAACAGCACCTAAGACTGACCATATCAATGACCTCATCCTTACCTAACGCTAACCTAAGATTGACCATAACACTGACCTACGACTGACATTAACACCTAACTAAAACTCAAAGTAAACTGACCTAAGACTGATCCACCATATTAGAGACACAAATCTTACACCGTTTATCATTCGCTATCAGAGGGGTGAAACTCGCCTTCGCAATTTCACTCCATCCTGTGAACACCTGTACTGACCGGGTCATAGAAAAACTAGGAATGACGTCACATGACACACAGCGACAAAACGAGGCAAAGAAAAAGACAACTTTCAAGGGAAATAAAACAAATTGTCTGTGGACAAGCCTTCGCTTGGACCAACCATATATGGTCGAAACACTTTCGGTCAAACGGCATCTATGTATGTATGATCGGAAAATATGTGTTTTCCTATGCAATTTAGAAAGAACGGTGGCATTTAATTTATATAGAGGAATAAGAATTAAATATATACATCTATGTATACACACAAACACAGACCAACTTCAACATGCAAGTATAAACATACATACTTATACACATACTCACAAACTCTCTCTCACACACACACACATGTAAGTATATATATATATATATATATATATATATATATATATATATATATATATATATATATATATATATATATATATATATATATATATATATATATATATATATATATATATAGGGCGGTAAGTAAAATTTGTGTTCGCAGAAAATTCGCACCCTACCAGGGCACCGGCGGACACGCCTGATTCAATTTAGTGAGCGACTGTAACGCTTGCACAGTTTAGAACGAACTCAGGCACCATTGCGCTCAGGGGAAAGTCCAGGGCGCCAGATCGAACCCTACAGGGGCGCCGGGGCACGCGCCTTTTTCGATATAGTTAACGATTATTTTCTCACGTCTTGTCTTTAGTCAGAGGCGTAGTGAGGGCGGGGCGGGGGGGGGGGGGGGGGGGTGAGGACCGCACCAGGTGACGTATTAAGGGTTGTGACACCAGGGCACAATATTGCAAAATGTACAGAATAAAATGCTATTTGCCAGTTCCATTAATGGTTAATTACAGTTTAATAGTTTTTTAAGTGCAAATCGACATTTATTACAACGAGGGTGTGGATGACATTATGACGTAAACGTGCTAAATATAAAGAAAACAATACTACATCCAACTGAATTATTAACGGACTAAAGATAGACATCGTTACTATTAAGTCAACAATGATTAAAGCTTATACACATACATGTACGCGTATGCAGCATATATTTAAATTGTAGACATGTGTGCGACGACATATATATATATATATATATATATATATATATATATATATATATATATATATATATATATATACATATATATATATATATATATATATATATATATATATATATATCTTTGTGATTGTATGCACATGTATAGCAATGTTCTTGATTATTATGACACACAGATTGCTGAAAGGCAGACACACATTATACAAAGAGAGACATTGACAAAACACACTGAAACACACGTTTACATATAGCCTACACACAGACAGCAATTTCACGACTACAGGCAGAGAACCATTTGCTTGAGATTTATTCAAGTGGATTTACTAATTGCTACAGGCAGAGAACCATTTGTTTGAGATTTATTCAAGTGGATTTACTAATTGCTACAGGCAGAGAACCATTTGTTTGAGATTTATTCAAGTGGATTTACTAATTGGTGTGGTCTGATTGAAATGTTTTCATGCCATTGCTCGTTTAATCTGTGACAGCTGTATCTTTGTTAGCGAATTTGATCGATATTTCATCTAAAATCATCGCATACACGCAAGCACACACACGCACATACGAACACATTTGTTCACTGTCTTACTTTGGTTACGCTGTTGTAGCCTAATTCTGCCTAAATTATTTAACTTAAAAGTGTTGATATTTGTATGTATATCGTTTAGCACTATACAGTCATTTGGTTTGCTTTGTATCAAAGTTTTGTCGCTAATGTTTATGTGTTTTTAAAGATGCATTTCCTTATTTGCTTGATCTCCGATTTTACGAATCTATTAGGTTTCTTTGCATTTGTTGCTAAGAATATTATTTTTTTTTTTTAAAAGATCTGTCAACTAAAGCGAGCCGCAGGTTGAACGTTTGAGGGGGGGGGGGGGGCGTGCAAATCAAAATCTCGAGGGGGGGGTGCAAATCGGAAGTTTGAGGGGGGTGCAAATCGAAATCTCGAGGGGGGGGTGCAAATCTAAATGTTTGTCCCCGGGCGCCGGGAAGGGTCGCTACGCCTCTGCTCTGGTATAGTTTATTTCGTATAAAAATGGGTTTGTCCACCACTGTGATGATCTCTTCAGTTGTCTTGGAATCCAAATAATTTTGAGCTGAACGAATCTTATACACCAGGGGTTGGCAAACTTTTGATTAATAATAGAATACAAATGTATAGACTAAAATGTAGAAACGTATTTTGCTTTTTACTTTCCTGATTATTTTAAATACCTGCAAAGAAAATTGATCAAATCAAATAGCAGTGAAAGGCAAGTCGCCGGATTTGCAACCCTAAATTTATATTTTTCCCTTAACAGTTATTTCTTTAACCGTAGAGCGAAACTCTGTATTAAAAGTTGCTTACAGTTCCATATCAACAACATACACATGAGCTATAAGCTCACACTACACCTTAAATGTAGAATATTTAGCATATTGTCTTAGTTACAATACTATCAAAGATCCACAACAAAAGCTCACGTTTACTCCCCTCCCCATCCCCCACTTTAAACAGATAAAGATAAATATCAAATTTTATATTCTTCAAATTGATCTCCTTGACCCTACTACCTACACTTATATAACTTGTTGTTTAATTCACTAGGGTTATGTTGTTATTTTATAAGAGCACGTCTAGCATGTTACTGCAAGGTTTTTTAAACTTCCCTGGGTAGGCGTGGTCATGTAGCAAGCGATTTTGACACTTGCTACTGCAACCAGAGTTTCTTCCAGGCATCTCTTCGGGGGGGGGGGGGGGGGGGGGCTTAGCCCCCCCCCCCCCGAAAATTTTTTACCGCCCCCCCCGAACGAAATGAAATTTATATAATTTATATAGAAAATATATACTTTTAACAGTGTCCGCCCCCCCCCCCCCCCCCCGAAGAAAGTTTACCGCCCCCCCGAAAATTTCTAGTGCCCCCCCGAAGAAAAAAGTCTGGAAGAAACACTGACTGCAACTCATATGCCTTTGACGTCACCGCAACACACACACTTATCAAGGCCCACACACGTACACAGTGAATTTCACCAACTACGCCAAGACGTGAATTGTCAGAAACCTGAGATGGGGGCACCCTACAGTCATTAACCAAACACGTGTACAAAAACACTCTTACATGCATCTAAAAAAAAGCCAAAAGTCTGTTGTATTATTGACGCCAACAAGCACATGATCACCATCATCTACCATTACATTGAAGTGAATTACAACAACAAATTAATCGACATACTCTAGCCCCACTAATCCAATTACATCTCATAAGCTAACTGCTTACCAGTTAAACGCATTACAATTCGTTAGTCTGGATTACATTATGTGTTCTTAATGATTTTATGTTAAACAAAATTTGCTTCGTAATTGTTCGGTTTTCTTGTGCACACAATAAAAACATGTAGGCTTATGGTGCTTGTTACTTACATTAATCGGATAATTTACTCACTGGCAATGGATGGCAAAAGATTAGACTAGCTGATGTGACCCTGCTAGTTGAAGTGTTTTTTACAATTACCTTGTCTTTGTGAGTATCATCTAATAGTTTACATCACCCTTGGCTGCTATATTGACCTTTAGATTACACTAGATAATTCTGGTTGGTAGAATATCAGCAATCCCTATTGAATAGTACCATTGTCACCATCACAGCATTCCCTACTTCTATACTAACACGCACCTCCATCACTAATGCCATCATAATTTACCATCCTTCCTTTCACTATTTCAAGAGCAGTGGTTCTCAAACTGGGTTTGTCGAACCCCGAATGTTGTGTGAGGTTAGTCTCATCGATGTTTAAGACACACACCCAACTCAAATGATGTAAATAGGAATTTGCAGAAGTAATTATAACAGGATATAACTTATTGTTCCTAAGTAGCTTATAATTAAGCAGTTGCGTTAGTCAGTTTCATTTTGTAAATGTCATGTTCATTTTGAAAAGAATGATTTTTATTTCACCCAGCATTCTACTTTGTCTATGCAAATAAATCATATTGATCTGAGATATGCCACATCTCATTTTGCCACTTCTTCAATGAAATTAGCAAGCGTAACATCCCTGTGAGACAAGCCTCCGACATCATGGGTGCTCAGAGTAATTTGTACCTTGTTATAAACATTGAACCATTCTGGGTGATGATCCATTTTATCTGCCTTTATTGCTATTCTAGTCATACATCCAAATGCCTGATTAAAATATTTGAAAATGAATTCTTTCTAAATAGCATCTCTGCCTTCAACCAAAGTCCAGCCAGATTCTTTGAGTGTGGCAAGTATTGAAGGCCCTTCTTCATCAGATAGCTGAGCTCTTTTGGGACTAGCAGCCATTTTCTTCGGAGATGAGTACGATCTTTTACTAGATCTATATTAAAAAAAATAATACGGATCGATTTTTATTCTCAGTGATTTAGCATTGTAAGATAGAAACGTTCTCTAGTAACCAAATTATGTTTCCAATAAAACTTAAACGTGCGTAATTATAAATAAATAACTCAAAAAATAGAAAATAAAAATATTATAAGAAATACATCAAAATTAATCGTAAACATGTTATTTGCTTTAAGAATTTCTTATGTAAACTATATATGTTTAACGTTTTTTCTAATTGTTTTGAATTTATATCCTCATATTTACATATTTGTAAGTTATTTCCCTTGTTAACTTTAGATTAAAAAATGGGAAGTAACCAGAAAATGCAATTTTCATTGAAACATAACAATCGTCATCAAAAGTAATAAAATTATTATTCAACATTTTCAATACTTTATTTAGTATGTATCCACACATTAAGCAATGAGTTGGCACTACGAGTTCCACGGATACTGTCTTAGCAAATATGGTCCTTAGATTGAACAATAACAGGGGCCAGGGATTCTACTTGTATCAATAAACACTACTGTCAGCTGTATTGTTTGAATACAATTCTGACGCTGTCTCGGTGTTTATCATCATTTTTACGCGTTCAAAAACAGCAAGTTTTAGGTAGATTTGTGTCACCGACACGGCTAAAACATTATTTAAATTTAGGTTGCCTATAGCAGCTGTAACTGTGTTTTTAAACTACACTTGGGTCGTTTTAGCAAAGGAAAACACTCATTACTAAACATCACATTTCTGTCGACTACCACTCTCAATTCAAATAACATTTCTGTAGACTACCTCTCTCATATCACATCACATTTCTGTAGACCACCACTATCATATCACATTTCTATAGACTACCAATCGCATATCACATCACATTAATGTAGGCTAGGGGTCCAGATGCGGCTCTCCAGCTCCTTGGACAAATATTAATAGTTATATAATTTCAGTTTTACTGCGTTCAGTGGGGTGGAAGATAAGCCTGGTGAGAACCCAAGGACAGAAGCGAACGATGCAAGTTATTCAAACCGATATCCAAGCCAGTTAGAAGGCGTTTGCTGTGTTAAGGCATGTCTGGCTAATGGCAGACACCTCCTGAGCCGGTGATATCCGTAAAGAAAAAAAAATTAAACATTTACAGCTTCTCAAGTGGATTGACATAGTCCTAGAATAATATTATTTGATTACTAATTTTATTATTCTGGCGAAACGTGTCTATGTTTTATATGAATAAATATCATTTCATATTCAAAGCTATTCATTTTAAATAACAAATCAACTTTCTTTACCTAATCCTAATCAATACCAAATATTGAAATAAAGAGGTTGTGGCTCTTTAAAAACTGGAAAATTTTGTAAATTGTAACTTTTGGCTCTTGCGTATAAAAAGGTTGCCGACCCCTGCTGTATGCTACCACTATCATGTCATATCACATTTCTGTAGACTACAACTTTCATATCACATTTCTGTAGACTACCATACTCATATCACATTTCTGTAGACTACCATACTCATATCACATTTCTGTAGACTACCATACTCATATCACATTTCTGTAGACTACCATACTCATATCACATTTCTGTAGACTACCATACTCATATCACATTTCTGTAGACTACCATACTCATATCACATTTCTGTAGGCTACCATACTCATATCACATTTCTGTAGGCTACCATACTCATATCACATTTCTGTAGGCTACCACTATCACATTTCTGTAGACTACCATACTCATATCACATTTCTGTAGGCTACCATACTCATATCACATTTCTGTAGACAACCATACTCATATCACATTTCTGTAGGCTACCACTATCACATTTCTGTAGACTACCATACTCATATCACATTTCTGTAGGCTACCATACTCATATCACATTTCTGTAGACTACCATACTCATATCACATTTCTGTAGACTACCATACTCATATCACATTTCTGTAGACTACCATACTCATATCACATTTCTGTAGACTACCATACTCATATCACATTTCTGTAGACTACCACTATCATGTCACATCACATTTCTGTAGACTACCATACTCATATCACATTTCTGTAGGCTACCATACTCATATCACATTTCTGTAGACTACCATACTCATATCACATTTCTGTAGACTACCATACTCATATCACATTTCTGTAGACTACCATACTCATATCACATTTCTGTAGACTACCATACTCATATCACATTTCTGTAGACTACCATACTCATATCACATTTCTGTAGACTACCATACTCATATCACATTTCTGTAGACTACCACTATCATGTCACATCACATTTCTGTAGACTACCATACTCATATCACATTTCTGTAGACTACCATACTCATATCACATTTCTGTAGACTACCATACTCATATCACATTTCTGTAGACTACCATACTCATATCACATTTCTGTAGACTACCATACTCATATCACATTTCTGTAGACTACCATACTCATATCACATTTCTGTAGACTACCATACTCATATCACATTTCTGTAGACTACCATACTCATATCACATTTCTGTAGACTACCATACTCATATCACATTTCTGTAGACTACCATACTCATATCACATTTCTGTAGACTACCATACTCATATCACATTTCTGTAGACTACCATACTCATATCACATTTCTGTAGACTACCATACTCATATCACATTTCTGTAGACTACCACTATCATGTCACATCACATTTCTGTAGACTACCATACTCATATCACATTTCTGTAGGCTACCATACTCATATCACATTTCTGTAGACTACCATACTCATATCACATTTCTGTAGACTACCATACTCATATCACATTTCTGTAGACTACCATACTCATATCACATTTCTGTAGACTACCATACTCATATCACATTTCTGTAGACTACCATACTCATATCACATTTCTGTAGACTACCATACTCATATCACATTTCTGTAGACTACCACTATCATGTCACATCACATTTCTGTAGACTACCATACTCATATCACATTTCTGTAGACTACCATACTCATATCACATTTCTGTAGACTACCATACTCATATCACATTTCTGTAGACTACCATACTCATATCACATTTCTGTAGACTACCATACTCATATCACATTTCTGTAGACTACCATACTCATATCACATTTCTGTAGACTACCATACTCATATCACATTTCTGTAGACTACCACTATCATGTCACATCACATTTCTGTAGACTACCATACTCATATCACATTTCTGTAGACTACCATACTCATATCACATTTCTGTAGACTACCATACTCACATCACATTTCTGTAGGCTACCATACTCATATCACATTTCTGTAGACTACCATACTCATATCACATTTCTGTAGACTACCATACTCATATCACATTTCTGTAGACTACCATACTCATATCACATTTCTGTAGACTACCATACTCATATCACATTTCTGTAGACTACCATACTCATATCACATTTCTGTAGACTACCATACTCATATCACATTTCTGTAGACTACCACTATCATGTCACATCACATTTCTGTAGACTACCATACTCATATCACATTTCTGTAGACTACCATACTCATATCACATTTCTGTAGACTACCATACTCATATCACATTTCTGTAGACTACCATACTCATATCACATTTCTGTAGACTACCATACTCATATCACATTTCTGTAGACTACCATACTCATATCACATTTCTGTAGACTACCATACTCATATCACATTTCTGTAGACTACCATACTCATATCACATTTCTGTAGACTACCATACTCATATCACATTTCTGTAGACTACCATACTCATATCACATTTCTGTAGACTACTACTCTCATATCACATCACATTTACGTAAAGGATGGTTCTGACAAACCCACACCCCAACTATGAAGATCCAGTAGAGCGCCGACCACTTAACTCATTCAGGTTAAGAAAACAAGGTTACATCTTACATAAAATACACTACGTGTAAATAATTGATGAACTTATTTTAATTTAGTTTTTAAAACAATATTAACGCGCGAAACGGGTACGCTAGGTTGTTTTGTTTTTTGTTTCATACATTTAGTCTTGTCTATTAGAGCTCATCCAACATTTCGATCGACGTTTTGGATCCACATAATGTGTCCTAAATTTTATCAACATGCATGTTTCTTAGTTTACACTATTAACACTACACACATGCATGAAACATGCATGTTGATAAAATTTAGGACACATAAAGAGCAGCCTCTATGATCAGAGCTGTTTCTACAAAATAATTGCCTTCGATAAGAATTTGGTTCATGTGTTACAGCAACATTTCCAATCCTAGACGTGTGCATAGAAATGTATATTAAAATACACAGGTACATAAGTAAATATATATTGATATGATTGTAATATGTCAATGTAGAGTTCCTTTAAACTGCTATTGCGTGAATTGCTAATATTAACCTGAACAAGTTATATGCCTTGATCGAGACTCAAACAATCAAGGGACATAAACCACTAACTGTGCACGATAATTAAATAAAAAAGAATTTAAAAGTTATCACGATAGCATGTATTAAATAAACCGGGAATGATCTCCCCTAAACTTTCTCGAATATTCTAATATAACACTACGGGGGATCGCAACTCGCTACATAGACAATATTTTTAATCTATTTTTAATTACTTAAACTTTTTTATAATAGAATAGAATCTAGTAAAAAAATAAGAATTGCACACCAAGTTAACGCCAAATAAAATGTGCATAATAGTGCGGGATATTTTTAGTACTCTATAAATTCGCATGCGTTTTTTGAGAAATCGGAAATAGCATAAATCACTACTTCCGACGGAAATTAATCAAAATTTGATAGAAGGCAGAGAATTAGAACTTTTATTTTTTAGAACTTTTCATTTATCTATCTGAAACAGTACTCAAGTTAAAGGCTTTTGAAAAATATTAAAGTAGAA